CCGACCCCGGCCCTGGTCTCTGCACTCACATGTAGGCTTTGTAGTTCTGCCCAATCTTCTGGACACGCACGTCATATTTGGCATCGATGAAGGGCTCGGCGGTGGCGTACGTCTTGGTCAGTGCCACGACACTTGCGATGTCCTGGAAGTCGTGCTGGTTGTCCACCTTGACCTGTGGGGAGCAGGGCCTGCTGAGGACAGGGCAGCTGTGGGCCGCGGGGGTGGAGGGGGGGCGCCTCGGGCTGGGGGCCTGCGCACCGATGGCCCAGGGGAGCCGAGGACATAACACTTGTGTGGCACTCAAGCATGCAGGATTGGGGGTCCCCTGGCTTTCACATGGACACAAGGACACACAGGTGGGGAGATGCAACTTGGAACACACTGAAAACGGCTGAGTTGTCCACTTTTAAGTGGGTAAGTGGTATGGGAGGTAACTTTTATCTCGGTAAAGCTGTGGGAAAATGGTGAGTACATATAGTCCGTGCAAAGTCAGTGGTACACACGGTATGAAAGCAGACAGAAGCACAGACACACCTTCCAAGTCGGCTTCCTACGTACCCAGAGCCAGACTCGGGGACGGAAAGCATACAGGACCCCAAGACCCTTGAACATGAAAGACCGCATACTGTGTGTTCAACACAGAGGCATGCATATACACAGACACGGTGCCGGATACACGAACAAAAGAACAGGACACACAAAACTGCTTGAACATCTGACAGAAAAGTGGGCCAACAGAATCTGAGAATGTTAGGGAAACAATACACATCGATGAAGACACCCCAGGACACACAATCCTACAGAACGACTGGTGTGCGTTGAATGTGCAATATACACGGACACACGTACGCACGATGCTAGGAGCGTGCACCATTCACACGCGCACACGCACACCCCGTCTGGGAACTCACCTTGCCCATCCCGGAGTGCGCATGCCCCATCTTCACCACCACGGGGTACGTCGTGCTGCTGAGCTGGTGGGGGGGGAGGGAAGGCAGAGCACGGTCAGGGCGGGAGGGCTGATGGCCAGGGGTGGGGGTAGTGCTGAGAGAAGCCCATTCAGTGGGAGCCACAGTAGGAGCTATTTCCCAGAAGAGGCGAGTCAGAGATAGCAGCGCCAGGCTGGGGGTGGGGGGTGGGGGGTCACACAGCGTCTCTGAGCCCGGAATCGAACTCAGAGCCCTGCCTGCCTGTCCCTCCCTCCACTACCCCCAAGTGCCAGACATCCCGCCTCTGCTTTCCCGGGCAGAGGCATGGGATAGGGGTGGGGGACTTTTCCGGAAAAGGGAAAGTTTGTTTTGACAGTGAATGGATGATAGAGAAGTGAGTGTGTGCATGTGTGTGCGTGGGGGTGTGGTGGTGAACACACAGTAACCGGACCCCTCAGCCAGGCCTCCTGTGTGAGCATGGTTGGGACACAACCTACAGACCCGCACACAAACCCTGGGAACTCAGACCTACACAACCAGACCCAGACATTCCCTCGCGTGTCGAGACCCACACGGTGGAAAGACCCAGGACCAACGCAGGCTCAGAGCACGCCTTGCTCTCCGGAGGCAGAGACCCACACAGCTGGTCAGCCGGCCGGGTGCTCGCGGTGGGGGCCGGGGGCCGGGGCTCCTGGCCAGTCTCACTGCCCAGCGGCGCACGCGCGCGCACGCACACACGCACCTTCCTCTCGCCCAAACCCACACGACAGAGGGACACACACCACCTGGAGGATTACCCATGCAATACAGAGACGACCCTCAGAGGCACGGCCGCAGGACGCAGAGGCACCCACGACAGACAACTGGGCACATACTCAACACTCACAGACACACAGGCAACACTCCCAGGCATCCGCACGATGAACAGGACCCACGCCACATATAGAGGTACCCACCCTTCTAGGTATTCACATAACCATCACGCCCCTGGACACACAAAAAGTACATCTAGGGACACACACACACACGCGCGCGCGCACACACACACACACACATTCGGGTGTGCGGGTACCCCGAGTGCCCCGCAACCCCGGCTGGGGGAGAGTGCAGCCGGCGGCCCCACGGGGCCGAGAGAGACAGCATTCCCGGAGGGGCTGCTGGGGCGGCGGCGGCTCCCAGTTCCCGACAGGCACAGGAAGCCCGCAGGCTCAGGGTGACCAACTGACCTTCAGGCCTCACCCTCTCTCCCCGCACCCCCACCTTCCTCATTTCCCAAATGACTGGCATCACGACGGGGCCCTGCGAGGCACGGCGTTGGGACAGGGGTTCCGGGGGATCCTCTAGTTAGCATTCCAGGGCGACAGTGCAGAGGCGGGCGCTTGACGCAAGGCTCGGGTGCACTCGCAGCTCGGAGGTGAAGACCACGTCCACAATTATACGTGCAACCTCCACCCGCTTTGCAGAGGCAGACATGCAACTCCCAGAAGCAACACAGAACACACAGGGCTACCCCGACCCCCAGGTACACACGTGCACCACGCAGAGGGGCACATGCCGCCTACAGGCGCACACACAATTCTCAGACGCAGAGACACGGGAGAGCTGTGCGCTGCACACGAACTCCCCCCCCCCCCGCCAGGTTTCTAGGCCCCTCTTTTCATAAACATTCCTTGTTTCCGCTGGACCTGAGCCTGAACACAGCCCAGTGTGTATGTGGGGGATTGTGCCCGCGCACGTGTGCAGGCAGGGAGCTTCGCACTCTAGGATCCCCTGGCGAGCCCTAGGTTTGACTCTTGGCCTCTCCTCTTCCTCAGGCCACGTGGAACCCCAGGCAGGTCGCTTAACCTTCTCTGGGTCTCAGTTTCCTGATCTATACAAAGGGCACCATGAGGCCCAAGCACTTGGCATGCTGTGGCGATGGTGGGGCGTCCGCTCTGCACACCCAGCCGGTCCCCATGCGCCCCCCCAACCACCCGTCCGGCTCCCCAGGTGGTCACACACCTGGATACCCCTCCTCGATGCCCCGCCGGTTTCAAAGCCTGCACTAAAAGCCAGATGCACAGAACCCCTCATGTGTAGACAGTCCGCCCAACTCGGTGCTGACTCAGGCTGCGGACTCTGCTGGCCTCAGAAGCAGGGTCCGTGAGGGGCTTTCCCTTTCTGCGAGGCTCCCTCCAGCCCAGCGTGGACTTACTCAGCCCCTGCCTCATTCAGTCTCCCTCCCCGCTTTCACAACCGGCTTCCCCAAATTCCTGGTTTACTTCCCTTCCCCCCGCCAACAGGGTCATTTCTTCATTCTCACTCCTGGGTTGGTGGCTCTTGACCCCTTGGTGTGTCTCAGTTCCCTCATCTGCATAAGGAGATACGCAAGTCTCTCACTACCAGAGAAGTTGGGAGGAACAGATTAGTTATTTCAGGGAAGGTGCTTAGCGAGTATCTGGCACACAGGAAGGCTCCATCCTCAAAAAGTGTGCGGCACCGGGGGCGCCTGGGTGGCTCAGTTGGTTAAGCAACTGCCTTCGGCTCAGGTCATGATCCTGGAGTCCCGGGATCGAGTCCCGCATCGGGCTCCCTGCTCAGCGGGGAGTCTGCTTCTCCCTCTGACCCTCCCCCATCTCATGTGCTCTCTCTCTCTCTCTCTCTCAAATAAATGAATAAAATCTTTAAAAAAAAAAAAAGTGTGCGGCACCGTTATCAGTACGGGGCGGGGGGGGGCGGGGGGGGCGGCGGCAGGCAGCCAATAGTAATTAACAAGGAGGCCGTTGGGCTTGGCTGAGAGATGAAAGCCCTCACAAAGATCTTAGAGCAGGGTTTGATACCCATAATAGCTGCTGCTGGTGGTGTTCACCGAGCTTACCTCCCTGAGTTCAGCAAGCTTCGGGAGAGAGGGGGTAATGAAGCCCGAACGGGAGAATTTGCACAAAGAATATAGGGCACGGCGCGCAGTAAGTGCTCAGTAAGCGGCTGCTAGAGCGTCGCTCCCATCACTATTATTATCGGTCTGCCCTCCCTGACTAACAAAGGATGTTAATGAGCCCTTAGAGCCCTTTCTCAGGACCCCAGCGAAGATTCAGGCAGCATCTGGAAGCTGGTGGGCAGGGATTGCCTCACCACCACCCTCCCCCCAGAGGAGTGGGAGGATTGGTGGGGAAGGGGCAGGGCAGGATGGGAGGGGATCTGTTTTCTACTGACTCACTGCCCTCTTTCCCCACCAGTGAACTGCCCCCCCCACCCCAGTGCTCACTAATTCACTGGCACATTCCCCACTTGCCAGGGCTCTGCCACGCCTGGGGTAAGATCCTGGCACCAGTTAGCCTGCGTTCTAATCCCAGCCATGCCCTGTGATCCTGGGAAAGTTCTTCAATCCCTCTATGCTCCTATTTCCTCGTCTGTAGAATGGGCCTAATACCGGTACCCATCTCAGAGGTTTAACTATATGCTTTAAGTAAGAAAAGTTATGCTGAGTGCCTGGTACGCAGTTGGTGCTATATAGATGCTGACGGTTTGCCTGTGTGTGTGTGTTTTTTTTTCTTAAAGATTTTATTCTAAGTAATCTCTACACCCAACGTGGGGCTGGAACTCACCACCCCGAGATCAAGAGGCAGCTCCACGGACTGAGCCAGCCAGGAGTCCCTGCCTGTGTTTTTGAGAGGGGTTAAGATCCAGGCTCTCTGCCTTGTCTCTCTTCACTGCTTCTACTCAATTTGTTTCCTCTCTGCCTCGCTCACCCTTCGCCAGACTGTCAGATCTCCCAGGAGAGGGATTTCTGCGTGTGCTTGGCACACACTAGGTGCACAAGCAATGTTTATTAAAGGGACGAACTCATCCGGGCTTCAGCCATGGGGAGCTGGGGTTGGGGGTGGGGGGCTGCGGGTGTTTTGGATAGACTTTGGAGAAAGTCTGGAGACTTTAGGGAACTGCCCTGAGGGGGGGTAGTCCTGCCTCGAAGCCCTCCACAGAGGCTGCCTGGAAGGACTGGTGACTGATGTGGAGATGGGGGTGGGCGGCCAGGGCGAGGCCCAGAAGGAGGGAGAGGAGGAGGGTGCATCTCCTTTTCGGCAGCCCTCGGCCCGCCCCTTGGCCTCCACCGAGGGTGGGCGGATGAGTAATGCATCCAGGAAGCCTGGAGGCCTGCGGTTTCCGCACCACTGCCGCCCCCGCCCCTCGCGTGGACATTTATCCCCCGCTGCTCAGGCCCTGCCGCCATCGCCGCAGACCCAGCGCCCCGAGAGATACACCGCAGGTAGGCTGGGGCCCTGGGTGGCCCCGCGGGGCCTGGAACCGGGCTGGAGCCTTCCTGCCGGACCCCTGGCTGCTCAGCCTGGCCGGCGGGTTCCGGGACCCTGGGGAGGAGGGCGGGAGGGTGCTGGACCGGCTCCCCCGATTCCCACACTCCAAACTCCTTGGAACCCCGACATCTATCCCCGACTCCTCTGAATCCAGGAGCCCCTAATATCCCAGCTGCCTTCCAGGCCGCCAACTCCCCTAAATTCTGCCCCCCCAACCCTCCAGACTCCTAAATCCCCAACTCCACAACTTCCTCTGCTCCCAAATCCCTCAGGCACCCCGCCCCCTTAAGTCCCCAAACTCCCTGAACCCCCGAGCTCCTCCCAATTCCTCAGCATCTCTCCACTCCCCCAATCTCAATATGTACAACCCCGAAACCCCAAACCTCTCCAGCTCCCCAGACCCCAAATTCTTCACCCCCAGCTTCTCGACCTTCCAACTTTCCAACGCCCCTAAATCCCGCAACCCCTCTGCCCCCTTATTCTTCAAACACCACAGTCTCATGGCCCCCCACTCACCCAGTCCCTGAAATTGCTCAACTCCCAGACTCTCCCAACCCCCAGCCCTCTCAGCTCCTCTGGGCTTCCAAATCCCCAAACCCCTTTAAAATCTCCACACTCCCCAACCCCTCAAGCCCAGAGTGCGGTGGCTTAATCCCCTTCCAAGCTGGCGGCGGTGTGGGGGGAGGCGCTGCCCACGTCCGCAGAGGACCACTGACCCCTCCTCCCTGCCCCGCAGCACCCACCATGGCACCCTTTGCGCCCCTGGCCTCCTGCATCCTGTTGTTGCTGTGGCTGACAGCCCCCAGCAGGGCCTGTACCTGTGCCCCACCCCACCCGCAGACAGCCTTCTGCAGCTCCCAGATGGGTGAGTGTACCCCACTCTACCCCCTGCACTCTGTGCTTTGGTTTCCCCTCAGTCCCGCAGGGTTCACAGCGGCGCCTACCTCTAGGACAGTCCCACTCAGCCCTGCCCCGACTCTTTTAGCTGCACTGGCATGCTCAGGCTTCCCCGATTACTCCAGGCCCAATCCCACCTCAGGGCCTTTGTACCGGCGGCTTCCTCTGCCTGGTACACCCTTCCCCGCAGGTATCCACATGGGGGGCGGCCTCGGATGTCGGGACGGTTTTCCTCGACCACCCTGTTCGAAATCCCCTAGTACTCCTGATCCCCAGCTCTAAAATTCCTCATCCCACTGAATACCAGCCATACATTTACTTATTTTGCTTCTATTGAGTCTTCTGGCTAGAATGTGAGCTCCACAGGGGAGCGGGCTTCTGTGTTTTTTGTTCACTGTTGTGTTCCTAACACCCAGAACAGTGCCTGGCACACAGCGGGCTCTGAAATATTGGTTGAGGGAAGGAACACACGATGAGTATATGAGAAAGGCTTAAAGCAGCTCCTGACAAAGAGTAGTCACTCAGCGTACAGATTATTCAATTACCCAGTATGTACATCCCTTAGCTAGCCGGCTGGCATTCCGGCGCTCCCTATTGAAATATGTGATTCGCCGGTGTTAGTACCGGGATTATTTTATTTTATTGGCTCGTGCAGTCCATTTGACTCGTCTTTTCCCCCACCCCTCCCTCCTGCAGTCATCAGGGCCAAGTTCGTGGGGACCGCAGAAGTCAACCAGACTGACTTAAACCGGCGTTACGAGATCAAGATGACCAAGGTATCCCTCCTGCCCTTTCCCCAGCACTGCCTAACATCTGCCTTCCCGTCAAAGTCAAAGTCGAGGAAGTTAGCTGTGATGTCAGGATGCTAAAGAGGACTTCAGGGAAGAGCGTGGAGTGGGAGGGCTGTGTCAGTAAACGAGACTCTTGCCCTCATCCGTCGACAGATGTTCAAAGGGTTCAACGCCTTGGGGAATGCCTCTGACATCCGGTTCGTCGACACCCCCGCCCTGGAGAGCGTCTGCGGATACGTGCACAGGTCCCAGAACCGCAGCGAGGAGTTTCTCGTCGCCGGTGAGGCCCCGCCCCCTCGCCCCGTCCCTCTGACCGCTGCCCGGCAGCCAGGAGCGGGCGAGGCTCCGAGGGGCTGGCCCCCGTTGAAATGGGGACCGCCCCGATTTCAGCCCATCGGGAAAGGGGAAAGCCGGGAGCTTTGCCCAGAGTGGGGGGTCTGTGCGCCCGGGACGCCAATCAGGCGCCGCCCTGCCCCCGCCACGCCGGCCCCGCCCATCAGCTGCTGCCTGTTGCCCCCCCCCCCCCCCCCCCCCGCCCCAGGAAACCTGCGGAACGGACACTTGCAGATCAACGCCTGCAGTTTCGTGGCTCCCTGGAACAGTCTGAGTAGCGCCCAGCGCCGGGGCTTCACCAAGACCTATGCTGCCGGCTGTGAGGAGTGCACAGTGAGTGCGGGGGCGGGGGGGGGGCTCCCCGCCGCCTGGGGAGCGGTCCTCGGGCTCTTCCCCAAACCGTGGCTTGTTTCTTGCTCCCTCTGGCCATTGCTTGTACGTAGGGCTGCTCCCCGAACCCTAGGGCTGTCCCTGATCTCTCTTGCTGTTCCCCCGAAGCTGACACTGTTCCCTGGAAATTCTGGTTGTTCTTAGCTCCGTGTCTGATTCCGCCGTTCCCTGGACTGTCAGGCTGCTTCTTTTCCCTCTAAATCCCCCTTGTGACTATTTTCTAGTCCCTCTGTCTATTCCTGACCGCCCCCCAACCCCGCCCCGCCTAGGGATTGTGTCTTGCTTCCCTAGAATGTTCTCCAAGAACCCAAAGTGCTGCTCCCCCAACCCAGCTCATCCGATTCTTGCTCTGCCTGCCTCACACCTTCTGACTAGTCCAAGGCTGTCTCCTGATGGCCCTGAATGTCCTCTGATCCCAGGGGCTGTGTCTGAGCCCCATGGCTCTTTCCTATGCCCAAGTCCGTCCCCCGCCCTGCCCCCCGCCCCACCAGCTGTTCCCTGCTACTGCTACTTGTTCCCTATCTTTCCAGATAGTTCCCCTGGAAGCCTGCCTGCCCCCCCCACCCCCCCCATGACTGTTCCCCAACCAGCATTCCAGGAAACCGATCACAGTTCGCTGGGTTGCTGTCACCTTGCCAAGCCCAGTGACTGTTCTCCAGTGGGAGGGGCTGCTCTTGAGTCCCTCCCCAGGTGGGGCAACACCAGGTCTCCCCAGCAGCTCCATGTTGAAAACTGAGGAGGGGAAGGTTCTGCTGTGTAGGGGAGGTAGGGGCAGGGGGAGAAGCCCTCAGAGACGTGCCTCTCTCCCCTCCCGTAGGTGTTTGCCTGCTCATCCATCCCCTGCAAACTGCGGAGTGACACTCATTGCTTGTGGACGGACCAGTTCCTCACAGGCTCAGACAAGGGTTTCCAGAGCCGCCATCTAGCCTGCCTGCCCAGAGAGCCGGGGCTGTGCGCCTGGCAGTCCCTGCGGCCCCGGATGGCCTAAATCCTACCCCCGGCGGAAGCTGAAGCCTGCACAGTGTTCACCCCACTTCCCGCTCCTGTCTTTCTTTATCCCACGAGACAATGAAATAAAAGAACTACCATCCAGCAGGCAGTGTCCCTGTGTCATGTCTGGGAACAAACCCATGTCGCCGTTGACCTGGTGGGCACACCCGGGGACCGAGGCCGAGGGGGGTGAGGGATGCAAATGTTGGCTTTTTTGTATTTCACCTATAATTTCAGGCATTGGTAATCATTCTCCACGTTGGCATTAGCATTGGTGATCCGCCACATCAGCGAGGGCCATTTAACCTGCATTATCCACCACAACGTATCAGCTAATCTCTCTGCCCGATACTTTAGAACCTTTTACCAGACTAACTGATGATTCCTATTTGCATAGCCCTCTCTAGAAAATGATCCCACTACTGGCAAATCACTACCTCACTGGCAAATCCCTCCATTCACAAATCCCTCCAGCTGACAAGCTCGTTGACAAATAAATGTCTTATCGATCGGCAAACAGCCCTCTTCCCCTGGGCACTGTCCTGATGTCATCCAGGAGCATGTCCTGCTCCATCCGCATCTGTGGGTGTTACCATCCCCACCCTTAGCTTTTGTACTGCGAGTCTGACTTGAGTGAAAAGGGAAAGCTTGGGGGGGGGGCTCGGGGCGCCCCCCTCCCCTCCCACCACATAACCCAGCCAGGGCCTCTGAAAGAAGGGGTAGCCCTGGCTCCCCACCCACGGCCTGCGGGAGATTCCTCGGAACTGGCCATTTGGGGAATAGGAGGGGTGAAGGGAAGGTGTGATCTGGAAATCCCCAAGCTCTGCCCTTCTCCCCCTTCCCCTACCTCTCCTCCCCTCACTCTTTTTTTTTTTTTTTTTTTAAGATTTACTTATTTATTAGAGAGAGAGAGAGAGAGCAAGAGCAGGGAGGAGAAGCAGAGGGAGAGGGAAAAGCAGACTCCCCTCTGAGCAAGGAGACCGTCGCGGGGCTCCGCCCCAATCCTGACCTGAGCTGAGGGCAGACGCTTAACCAACCGAGCCACCCAGGCGGCCCTCCCCTCACTCCTTTGACTAACACTGAAGGCAATACAGCAGTGAAGTGTAGGTAGGGTTCAAAATCAGGACCAGCCAGGTATGTCAGGCTACACCGCCCATGTACCTCCTATACAGCTCTTCACTTACCCAAACTGGGGCCTCTAGACCCAAGCCCCACCTTTCTGGTTCATCTTCCCCCATAAAACCTGAGTGACAGGGGCACCTGAGTGGCTCAGTCGTTAAGCGTCTGCCTTCGGCTCAGGTCGTGGTCCCAGGGTCCTGGGATCGAGCCCCGCCTCGGGCTCCCTGCTCCGCGGGAAGCCTGCTTCTCCGTCTCCCACTCCCCCTGCTTGTGTTCCCGCTCTCGCTGTCTCTCTCTCTGTCAAATAAATAAATAAAAAAATCTTAAAAAAAAAAAACCTGAGTGACAGATCCTCCAAACACTCCCTTCTTCAGGCCTTCTTGTTCCCCAGCTGGGCCTTTCCCAGTCCCTGGCTTCTGTCCCTTACACCCCAAAGATCCTGACTCAAGTGAACCCCTGGGAACCAGAACCTCAGACTGGTGCACACGTTCCACAGAACACTTGAGTGTCCCCTTGCCCTGAATCTGCTCGCAAGAAGGTTCCAATGCATCTTCTTCGGTGAAGGAAAGGACCCCCCAATTCCCTCCCATCAGACTGCCCACCGCTCCTAACAAGAAGCCAGGTCTCCTCCAGGGAATTACGGGTCAACAAGCTGGCCCCCCGGATCCTCTATGGCCCTCTCCTCTTTCACTCCTGGGAAATGCCCCCAGGACCCAAGGTATGTCCTAAATCAGGATGGGTAGATTTTGAGCACTCAGCACCCATCTCTCTGCCTGTGCAGGGGACGCCCACTGCAGCGACAATTTCTTTCTTTCTCTTTTTTTAAAGATTTTATTTATCTATTTGACAGAGAGAGAGAGAACACACGCAGAAGCAGGGGGAGCTGCAGGTAGAGAGGGAGAGGGCCTCCCACTGAGCAGGGAGCCCGACGCGGGGCTCGATCCCAGGACCCTGGGAACATGACCTGAGCCGAAGGCAGCCGCTGAACGACCGAGCCACCCAGGCGCCCCTGCAGCGACAATTTCTATGTCAACATCTAGACCTTGGTTATGCCCTGGCAGGATCTAAACCCCGTCCACTAAAAGGGGAAAATGGCCACCTTCGCTCATGGGTATGACCATAAGGGCCCTGGTGGCCTTGTTGCTCTTGGCTCAGCTGCTCCTAACGGGTCACCAAACCCTAGTAGCAGCTCCCTGCATTCTTATGCTGTTGTTGCCTGACCGCGGGGCCCATTCTCTGAGCCCTCAACTATTTTAATCCCTAGGAGGAAGTGGAGGTAGACCCAGGCAGTGGAAAAGGATGGAGCCCAGTGTGCGGGCCGCGCTCCTGCCGACCTGCCCACCAGCAGGTGGTGCCCTGGTTCGAGACATCAGTGCTTCAAGGCCAGGGCTGACCACCAGGCCCCACGGAGGCCAGAACAGCATACAAGGCCGCCTCCCACAGACCCCGGCAGGAGCCCCAGGCAGGATTTCTGTCATCCTGGGGTCACTACATTCCCCCCTTCGCTCTTCTAGAAAATCTACTCAAGTGAGCGAAGTGAGTACCGCCCCCCGCCCCAGCATTCCATGTGTCTGGGTGTGAATCTCTGCGTGGGAGAGACTGATCCGGCTGAGAGGAAGCACATGGGGGTGGGGGGAGAGCCCTGTGAGGTGTGCAGCACCGGGGAGGGGGGGAGTTCAGCTCAATGGGTGGCTTGGTGGCCGGCCCTTCCCTCACCTGAGTCTCAATACTTCTCCCTAAAAATGGGCCTCACAGTCCCTACCTAGAATCCTTCTGAGGTCCGTGCTAGGGTTGGAGGATGATTAATGGGTGTGTTCGTCCCTTGGGTATTTTTTCAGGCCAGAACACGAAACGCTCATAAATAAGAAATTCACGGGTAATATTACTAACAGTGGCTTAATTTCTAGACAGGCGACGTGTAAGGGATAAGAACATGAACGCTGGAGAATGTCATTTGCATTCAAGTCCTGCCCTTTCCATGTACTAGCTCTGTGTCCTTGGGGAAATCACATTACCTCTTTGTGCCTCAGTTTCCACATCTGTAAAATAGGGATAAAAAGAATGCCTAACTCGCAGGGACAACGTGAGCAATAAATGAGGTCATACATGTCTAATGCCTGGAACAGTGCATGGAACATAGCACTTACAAGTATTAGTTACTATGACTAGTAGCAGTATGAGAAATATAATTTAATGTGTAACTTTAGTAGTGATAATTCGTATCAGTAACGATTATTTAGAGTAAGGAAATAATGTATGATATCAGTAGTAATAATTTAATGCACTCTGAAAACCTTGGTTTAATTTGTGATCCTGAGAAGCTACCCCCAGAGACGTTACAAATATTTTGTATGCTCATTTGTGATGTTCTTATTATCCTGAAACTTGTATATTTTTTCCCAGTGTGCAAGTCTCCCCAACTGAAAAACACCAATATTTTCAAAGACTTCTATGGGAACCCCTCCCCCCAGTGATAATGTACCCCACTATGAAGTCCTCACTGTGGATGACGAATCACCACACTTACAAATCTCTTCTGTTGCCAAGATTGCAGGTGACAAATTTCTAAGTCTTTGGTAAATCTTTCCTTGGAAAAGTTCCCTCTCATCACTGTACAAATCCCCTCTTTCACAAATCCCCCATAACAAATACCTCTGTTGAGCCTTATTTATAAATATCTCATTGACATATCCCCATTGACAAATCTCCCCGTTTACAAGTACCTGGCAGCAATCCATCACCCATTGATGGATCCCAGTGACAAATATCTCTCTTCATAATTACCCACCGTTTGCATATCCCCTACTGACCACCCAGGTGACAAATCTATTTATAAATTAGATATTCCCTATTTATGACATAATTCCCATTGACGATCTTTTTTAAAAGATTTTACTTTGGGACGCCTGGGTGGCTCAGTCAGTTAAGTGCCTTAGGCTCAGGTCATGATCCCAGGGTCCTGGGATCAAGTCCCACATCGGGCTCCTTGCTCAGCGGGGAGTCTGCTTCTCCCTCTGCCCCTCCCCTTCCACTCCTGCCCACGCTCTCTCTCTCAAAAATATTTTATTTATTTTATTACAAAATATTTTATAAATATAAAAAATTTATAATTTTTATAAATATAAAATTTTTAATAATTTTTATAAATATAAAAAATATTTATATTTTATAAATATTTAAAAAGATTTTATTTATTTTTGACAGAGAGAGAGAGAGCACAAGCAGGGGGCGCAGCAGAGGGACAGGGAAAAGCAGGCTCCCTACGGAGCAAGGAGCCTGAAAGGGGGCTTGATTCCAAGACCCTGGGATCATGACCTGAGCCGAACGCAGATGCTTAACCGACTGAGCCACCCAGGTGCCCCTAAATAAAATCTTTTTTTAAAAAATTAATTAACCTCTACACCCAACCTGGAGCTTGAACTTACAAACCCAAGATCAAATGATGCATGTTTCATCTACTGAGCCAGCCAGCCACCATCCCCCACTGACAGTCTTTATTGACAAATCACCCTATTCCTGTATCTCTACCCACTGACATATCTCCTCATTCAGACATGCCCATCAAAATGCTCCCATTGATAAACCCCCTCGTCAAATCTTCCCATTCAGAAATACCCACCACTGATATCCATCTCCTTGATAAGTCCGTTTGAAAATCTTTCCAATCATTGAACCCCAGCCTTCCATATAGTCCCCTATTGATCGACCCCCATTGACATTTCCCCATCCTTAGATATCTCCAGTTGGAAAAATCTCCTTGCTAGAACAGCTCCCAATGTAGTACCATATTACCATATATGTTGAAACATCTCTCCCCACCCCATCAATGACAGATGAAGAAGTAGATTTCTTTCTCTTTTTCTTCTGGTTTTAAAAAAATTTTTAAGTAATCTCTACACCCAACCTGGGGCTTGAACTCACAACCCCGAGATCAGGAGCCGCACAACACTCCACTGACTGCATGACTGAGCCAGCCAGGTGCCC